ATTTATCCCCCCCACCCCCATGCCTGCCATTTGGGTTCTGGGACTTTAACAAGTGATTAGGATTAGCAGCAAGTGCCTTTACCCACTAAGCTATGTCACTGGGTCACCCAAGTGCATTTTCTACCATGGATATGAATTTAATTTCAACAAGTTGTCTTTTCAAGGTCAAAACTTTTCCAGATTCTTTCCCAAAGTTTAATTTGCCTGAAGATCTTGGGTAAGTTTCTATTTGTAAGGTTCTATCAACAGAACAATCTGGAAAAGAAATCTATAGTAATAGATTTTACTTTACTTGTAAGAATCTGGGGTAGGCCTGGCAGTGATGCGCACGCCTTTAATCTCAGCACTCGGGAGACAGAGGCAGTCACATCTATGTGAGTTCGAGACCAGCCTGGTCTGCAGAGCAAGTTTCAGGACAGGCTCCAAAGATACACTTTCTCTCTCTCTAAGAGAAAGGGAGAGAGAGAGAGAGAGAGAGAGAGAGAGAGAGAGAGAGAGAGAGAGAGAGAGAGAGAGAAAATATAGGGTAGAGTGGTGGGGTGGAAGAAAACTAAGCACTCACTGTATGCCACTGCTAGAGGAGACCTCAGTCCTCACGCACACAGACTGGGGCTAATTTCCTGAACTTACAGATTGCTTAGGAGATTTCAACAGCCACTTTCTAATTCAGAACCTCCCAACGTTCTTTGGGATACAAAGTACTTCAAGCTGGATGTTCACTTTAACCCTTGTGCTAGCCTACATCTTCCCGTATCCCTGCTACCATAATGTGATTATTTATACTACTCCCAAATAACTGGGAAATGCTCTCCTCATTCTGCACCTTCCAATTCTTTAGAATTTCAGGGCTCATCTGGATGAGTAGATGTGGGGAGTTGGGCACCTTTTCTTATTCTTCTCTTAAGCTATCATCTATGGCTTTCAGAACACAACGGGCAGATGTGAAGAATGTGTTTTGCATGCAGAAAGCAATGAAAGCATTTGTACGACATTATCAAAAAGAGGGCTGGGGGTTTATGGCAATTCACACCAAAATGCTGAGTTACAAAACTTTTGTCTTTAGATTTTTTTCCATCACAAAACTGGGTGGGGTTTATAGTTCACTAGTACCATGTATATTTAGCATGCACAAAGCCCCACCTCAATATTCAGGGCCAATGAATAAAATTAAATTGCTACCCGTGTCTCATCTATGAACTACTTTTTGTATAGCCAAGGCTATGAGGTCAGTTCTTACAACTATTTAGTTTATTATCCAAACATGTGCCTTTATTTGTGAGACCCGATCTCACTGTGCAGTCAACACTGGATCTTCGTGCCGTGCCTCAGCCTCTTGAGTGCTGGGCTGACGAACAACTCACCCCGACTTTTTTTTTTTTTGAAAAACAGGACATTTTTATTTCATAAATAAATTCTAATCCAGTTTCCCAATCACGCAGTCTCATTCCCCTATTTCCTGGTTTAAGACTGTTTCCAGCATGGTTTGTCTCCTCAGTCACGGTCCAGAGGACTCTGAGAAGCCGTAGGAATATGCAGGCGCAGACTCGAAGCCCAGCTTCATCTCCAACGTCGTGGAACGGGACTGTACATCACGGGGCAGGGCCCTATGCTCCCCTACGCCACTAGGACAGAGCCCGGGGAGAGTGACCTCCCGGGATATCCACGTTGGAACCGACTTTTTTTTTTTTTAAAGATCCACTTGGTTATCAGTTACGTGCATGCAGCTGTCTGCGGAGCCAGACTAGGGTTCAGACCTCCTGGAGCAAAAGCTAGCGGCAGCTGGGAGCTCCCCAGCACGGATGCTGGGAACTGAACCTCTGCAAGAGCAGCAAGCTCTCTTAATCACCGAGCCATCTCTCCAGCCCGTGCTGACTTCTGAATCAGAGCTCATGTTTCCCGATATAAATCATGAGGTATGGTAGTCCTCGTGAAATGTGCCAGTCTTTAGGGGAACTCTTACTTGCCTTAGCCTGACCTTACACAGGGAATCCTCAAGAAGAGTGTTATAGTTCACTCCTCGTGTAGTGCTCCAGGAAGGGGCTTTAGTTCACAGCACAGGGTTCTGAAACATGTTTTACCTCGAGATTGCCCTGGGAACTAAGAACGCAGCCTCTTCCTCTAAATTGTTAGGTCAGACAATGTGTAAGCAGGGCAAACAGACCTTCCTGAACTCTGGTGCCACAGGCTCGCTGGTCTGGTTATTACAGGTGCTCTTTTGTTCATCCAATAACACACACGTGGAACTCACTTCCTCGAAGCCTGCTCTATTCTTAGCTTTTGGATAACTCTTTTTTGTTTTTAACAGCTGAAAGGAACCACCATCACTTGAAAAGACTGAAGAGTAATTCTTAGAATTTTTTCTGTTTAGTTCTTACTCGCAAGATCTGTTCTGTACAGTGGTCTCCTGGTTAAATTTTGTATGCCTCAGTATTTATTCAGATTGTTTGTGTAAAGACCGCCCATCTCCCTTTTCTTTTTCACAGTTGAATTATTCATACTGAAGAGTCACTAAAGAGAAACACCAGGCTACTCACAACAAGCCCACTCCTATAGCCTGAAGCACCTACTGTGTTAGCCTTTCATTTTAAGAGGTTAACACCCAGGATTGTTATCTGCCTCACTCACACTGATTTATATACCCTCCTCAATGAATGGGAAATTGTTTTAGATCAGAGGTGGAGAGATGAAGAAAACACAATTCTATCATTAAACCATTCATCAACAGTCATTCATTGCTTCTTTACTATATCCCAGGTACTAAAATAAGGAGTAGGATACAGTGGTTAGCAAACCAGTATGGCCTTATAGAACTTACTGAAACAGGTATATAAGAACAGTGCGCATTAGATTCACCACTGGGTATCACTCAGCACATAGCAGGCACTCCAAAGTTTGTTGAATGAATGAAAATGGCTAAATATATAAGCTTTGCTATGAGCTGGAAACAAACAAGGAAACTGTGGCAAGATAATATGGTAGAAATAGAGAAAAAATGCAAGGCATATCTAGGAAGAAGATAGAAGCAAGAAGAGTGAACCATGGCAAGACTGGAAACACAGCATTGCAGCTGGACAAATTGGGGAGAGAACATCTCAGGAGAAGGCATAATCTAGATGAGGGCCCTGAGTTTAAGCGAGAGCTTGGTATGTTTTAGCTGGAAGCCAAGTGTGGGGGGAGCGGGGAGGAGGGGGAATGTAAAGAGGTAAGTAATGAAGATCACTGAGACCAACGTAAGAGGTAAGCAGGGGTCTTGTAGGACTTTGTAATGGGGGGGGTGGTGATTTTACTCTAAATCAAATGGGAAGCGAATGAGAAGTGACATTGCCTTAAGCAGAGTCGCATGATTTGATTTGTATTTTCGTTTTTAAAAACACACTCTAACGATAGGACAATTAATTGTGAGCACAAGAGAGAATCCATGGTCTCTAGTTAGTTATGATCCAAGCGAAGGAATGATGGGAGTTTAGACTAAGGCTGTTGTGGTAAAAGCGAGTAGAGTCAAGATTATACACTGGAAATAGAAACAACAGACATGTTGACAGACTGGATGCAGGAAATGAGAAGAGGAATTAAGGATGACTTCCAGGTTTCTAGCTTAAGCAACTGGGTGGGAGGAGGTGCCATTTCCTAACATGAAGAACTGTGGGGGAGGAGAAGTCCTGGGGTATGGTGCTGTTTATTCTTAGCATGATTTTCTTGAAACGTCTGTGAGCTATGTAAGTGTAAATGTCAAGTAGGCAGTTGAATATCAATCTGGAGCTTTCTAATAGGAAGTTTATGACACAAGTCTTAGAAGTGGCACAAGGCTTAACACGTCCCAAGAAAAATTTCATGCCTTCCTGGGCTAGAGGAATCTTCAGAAATAAGTTGGCATTAGAACCAAAGGAAAGATGATTAAGGAGAACATTCCAGGAGTGGATTTGGAAAGGCAGAGGACAAAAACCCGAAGGTGCATTTAGAAATGGAAAGGCAGCTCATCGTGGATGGAAGAGAGCTTTGTATTTGGCTTGTTGGAAGATGAGTGTACAGAAGAGGGTGCCCCAGACAACATAGGGCTTGAGAACCACGCTAAAGAATTTGTATAACATTTTGTGGGCAAAAGTGAGTAATAGCCAGTTTTTGTTCAGAGACATGACCTGATACAATGTTAAGAGCTATTTAGTGATATTAAGAAGTGCCTACTGAGGAATGGGAATAGGAGATGAAGGAGGCCAATTAAGAATCGATTTCAATTGTCAAGAAGTGAGATAATAAGCACCTACATGCTAACTGACAAGTAAAGGGAAATATTTGTAAGGAGATTTATGTTAACCTCAGAGGAAAGCCAGGAGGAGGCACCTCTGTTTTCTTCATTGTTAGTACCTGTTTTGATACTAGATCACGGCTTCTGGTAAGGATGGGCAATACTCCAGTCTTTCCACAGTGATATTTAACATGAATTCAAGGTGTACAAGACTGCTTATCTATGATGGGTCACCTTTCAAAGTGTTTTGTCTGGAACTAGAGAATCCTTTTATTGCAGTGAGGTCACAGAATGTATCGGAGGGCAGAGTACCAGAGTAGCCTCTGAGGTTAGCTGACAGTGTGCCATGTTTCCAGAAGGAAACACCAAGGAAGGCTGCTGACATACAGGTAGGGGGTCTTGTAGGACATTTGTAAAAGGTTTGAATTTTACCATAAGTGTCTGTATGGTATCAAGGCAACCAGATAAGAAAGCAAAGGCTCTGCTACTGGAGCAGATAGACTAACACAGGCGAGTGCCGCTGGAAAAAAAATTGTGAGTTCAAAGCCATGGGCAGACAGGACACGAACCAGGGAGTTAAGTTTTCAATCTTTTCCCCTCTAGAGCTCCATTATCTGCCTCCCCCGACACATCCAACAAACGGCTACACAGGCTGAACTTTCCATTCACTGAAATTCCTCCTCGCCTGGACTCCCATTCATAGTATTCGGATTTGTGTTAAACCCCACCCTTCCCCGTCCCCATCTGACAAACAAGTATCACTGAGAAAATAATTGCATGTGATCCTTCTCTTGTTAATAAGCCCATTGAGAAAACCGAGGTCTTAGATATACTGGTGCAAATGTCGGAAACGGAAGTTAATAATACAGCCTGCTAGAGCTGCGGTGAGATAGAGTGGTAGGAGCTCAGGTATGTTTGGGTACCATTCTAATGGGGAAGCCTGGCTATGGCTTCATCATATTCTCCACAGACTCCCAGCAACATTTATTTATGATGGGCCTCCCTTCAAAGGAGATAAGGTATCCTTGGGACAGTCCTCTGAAATAAATCTACTGAGGAAAACAGAATGACTACCCCAAGTGTTTTGTTTATACTAGGGAATCCTTTTACTGCTGGTGGATTCTGCCTTCCTGTTATTATTCCTATCCTCTACATCCTAGTTTTCAATGCAGACATACACACATACATAGGTGTATTGTGTGTATGTATATATATATATACATGTATGTATACTTATATGTGTATATAATATATATTATATACCATTCACTGTTCAGCGACCCTTCAGGAGTACTTGCAGACTATATACTACATAAATATAATAAAGCAATGGATTCATAAAATACCTTATTTTCATGAGTATCACTCTGAATAGCCTAGAAATTATGCAGTTACACTACAAGGGATAGCAACTAAATCTTTCTAATCTAAAATATTTTTTGATACCTGGAATTTAACAATGTAGTGATACATAAATTGTGATCCTCATATATTTATTTTCACATATCTATTATTAAAATAATAATACCGTGGGGAATTGGTGAGTTGGTTGGTAGGTTCCTTTTATGCAAACCTACCAGTCTTACCAAACACATTTTTCACATTGTGGATTTTTGCACATTTGTTTGTGCTGTCTCTCCAGAGGTAGTGTTCAACTCAACAGAAAGTATAAATGTAAAATGACTTTAGACTTTCATAAATGTCTCATTTGACACCCAAACTCAAGCCTACTTGTTAGCTTTCAAAACAATTTATTTTGCAACGTAAGAAGAACGAGAATGTAATAGAAAATTTGAAAAGGGCAGGAAGATAGGAAGAAGGAAAACTATCAACCATAATCCTACCACTTAAGCAACAACCGTCATTAAGAGCGTTGCTATGCTCACTCTTTAACCTTCATTAGGTCCCACTTATGGTGCACTGCCTTCCTTTAAGTTGCTCGCCTCTGTCTTCCATGTCACGCTTCTACCACTCAGGCACACCATACCCTTCTTTGTATAGTTAGCTAACGTGCTGTGACTCGTGCTTCCAGCTAGACTGTTAGAACCTGGCGGGGCTGGCAGCATGACTTTTCCCACCAGGTGCATTGGACCCAACATTTGCTGACTGATTTAACCTAAATGAAGACGAACCATCAGCAGAACACGAAATAGGCCACGTATCTAGAACATGAAAATTAGTGCTTTCCAGTCACCTAACTTGGTGACTATTGCTTTTCTGTTCCTGGACTCTTAAAAGGCTATTTAATGGGCCTCTTTCTTCACACCCACACTGAATGCGAAGTACACTGATTAAGAACCAGGACTTATTCAAAGACTTTCAATATAAGGCATAAAGGTGAAAGGGAAAGGAGGAGGCTGGGGGAGGGATAGGACGGGAAGAAGAAGCAGCAGCAGCTGGGGGAGACATATAGTACACAGGCAGTAAAGAGAAAAGAAAGCCAGCAGAGGATATATAGTCTGGTGCTCAATCCAGTATGTGATTTGCCTCCAGCACTGTGTACAGGATCCCATCCACTTGTTCTGAGTCATACCCGATCTCACGAAGCTCCAAGTGAGGGAGGACAGAAGTAAGGAGATAGCTGACGTGGATACGTAGCCGCGTAAGCTTTGCCAAAGCCCTGTATGATGGAGTGAGGGGGTAGGAGAAGAGATGACAGGAAGTCATTAGGCAACAGAATAATACGAAGTCCCTTCACAATGGGCCTATAGGTCCTAATAATTAGCTCTCCATTAGGTAGGAAGAAGGCAGACAGAACCATGCCATCAAACACGGGGAGACTGGCTGCGGCTTTCTAAGGAATAATTACTCAATCCGTGGTGGTCAATGGATTAAGACTTTCTCCCCTGTCTATGACCAGTAAACTGGGGTTCTTAGTGGATAATTCCCCTTAGTACTCACAAGGTGATAACTAAACCCTAGTAATTAACCTTTCTAGGTCATCTCCCTCTGTGTTCCGGTAGGATATTTGGGCCTTCTGCAATACTTCCAGGTGTGTCTCTGTCTCTTTCAGTTTCTCTTTTAGTTCTTGCTTCTCCTCTTTGGTTCTTTCTAGCTCCGCTTTCAGAATCTGGAATTCAGCTTGGCGATAACCCATGTGCTTCTTGCTCCAGTATAAGCCTTCAGTCTCCTGGGTACTATAGGTCACCAATTCATGTTGAGCTTTCTTAAATTCAGAATGCCAGTGATTCTTCTCCTGTTCCAGCTCCTCTACCTGCATTCCAAGAAAGACAAAGTCAGTGATCCATACAACCAAAAGTTAGAGTATCCCGAACCGTTTCTACTAAATCTATCCTGTGGTTCTATTATTTATAATGCTTTATTATACTTATGCAAATCTCTTGTCAAACCTAAAATACAGAGGGGAAGCCTATTAGGGTCCTCTCAATCTGAGACATACCACAGACTGGTTTAACGGCATATCAGTACCTCAGTCCAGTGTTTCTCAACCTGTGGGTCATGACCCAACGGGATTTCAAATGATCGTTTCATAGGGATCACCTAAGACCATCAGAAAGCATGGTATTTACAATATGATTCATAACAATAGCAAAATTAGAGTTATGAAGTAATAAAACAATTTTATAGTTAGGGGTTGCCACAACATAATGAACTATATTAAAAGGTTGCAGCATTAGGAAGGTTGAGAAGCACTGCCCTTGTCCCTTGGTTACAATGACCTCTCCTTATCCCTACTGGTAAGGCATTGCCCAAACCTTTTGCTGGAACAGATTCCTTTCAGCCAAGACACGCTCCAATTTTTCTGTGGTTCTCTTCAATTCTTCCAGTTCTTTCTGGTTCTTTATCTTTGGCATGTTCCGACTTCCACTCTCCTGGTAGCCTTTTCCTTTCCCTGCAGTAGCTGTGGCAGGGGCCACAGAAGAATAAGGATTCAGGTTCCAAGGTTCCGCTGCTGCCTTTCTTCTGCCTACAAACTCCTCCCGGTTGAAAGGGATTAACTGGATGGGAGCTCCTGAATCTGCAAGTCCCTTCGCAACTCCGACCACCGCTACAAAAGGCCCTTTATTCGTGTCTCTATCCTCGCTGCTCCGGTTAGATTCTTCTGCTACCAATCTTGGCATCTGATCTTCTAATTCTTCAGGAAGCAGGGACTCCTGGTCTTGGTCCTGAGACCCTAGACAAAGTGCTGGAGCTTCCCTGTTGTGGCCTGTGCTCTTGTTTGCTTCTGGGTATTCTGGTAAGAGGTATGGTGGCGTGCTTCTCTCAGAACTGGATTTCTCAGGGCTGTCCTCTCCTCCTAGGTCAGCAATAGCGGCCTCTCCCCTCCTGTAAGGACTGGACATGGAGTAATCTATAGGAGATGGTGTCGTATCATTTTGGAACCTCCTTCGTTTCTCCACAGGCTCCTCACTTAGGATCAATTTGTATTTACTGCAGAAAGAAGAAATAAAATTGTAAGCTGTCACAGTATAGGTTAAGAATATTCTTACTCTACAAATCCCCTCTTCAAGGCGCACATTCTTTCAGGGTAGGACTATTATTACCACGGCCAAGAGATGCTTTCTTCCTGAGAGTGTACTGGATGCTGTCCCTAGCGTGTCAATGTTAACAGATGATGTGGGACTTTTACTAGGAAGCCCCTTGTGGAGATTGTTAGGTCACAGGCTGGGGGTGGGGGGAGCGTTGTGTTATCCTCAGAAGGGATTTGGGTAGCACTCGTGGGACCCTGAGTTAGTTCTCAGGAAAATCAGATGCTGTAAAAGATGTAATGGCTTGCTCTTGCACACAACCCTAATACTATGATCCCACCCACCATAAGGCTTTTACCAGAGCCAAGATGAAAGCAGCAACACCGTGCCCTTGAATCTCTAGTCCTGTGAGCTGAACAAACATTTTGTTTCTTGTAAAGTTACTCGATCTAACACATTTTGTTACATCAAGTAGTACAACAACTCAGCCCCCTCCCCAAGCCTCAACCCCTTCACTCGTGCAACTGGATGAATTGAGAGCTGGGGCTAGGAGAGAAATAAAGTTGGTAGGTTTTAAGAGTTAGCATAAAATAGCCCTGTTAGAAGAAAATAGGAGGGGACTGACCTTGGTAAAATGTTTTCAAAATGAATTTTAAACCACCCTAACTGTCAAGCTTCCTAAAAAACAAATAGAGGAAGACAAACAAAAACTAAACACACACACACACACACCACACACACACAGAATCTCTTAACACAGATGGAATAAAAGGTCATTTAAAAAAGCCTAGCGGTGTATGCAGAAAAGAAAGCCAGCTCGTTAATTTTAAAGTATCAACCCTCCAGTATCAAAGACTTAGCATGTTTTTATATTGCAATAGTACTCCACACAATTCCTTGCCAGCCAAGTGGATTATGTCTATTGCCCACTATTCCCTTGTAAAAGTTAATTAAAACACAAGGCCCTGATTAGAAACAAAGAAAGTAAACCAATCAGATCAAGTTATTTCCCCATTATGACCAACACCTTCACTTGGTCAGGCCCAAACTGGAGCTCCCTTTGTTCTTCAGGGAAAGCCAGATTCCACGGCCTCAAATCACCTTCCCTTTCTGGCTACTACAAGCACTAATGTGTTGTGGAATATTAATTTAAGATGTATTACATTTGTTTATGCTGTGGAACATTTGTTTAATGATGCAAAGATGTGTTTCATTCTTTTCCGTTGCATTTGTTTAAGTCTGTGAAGCTGAGTTACCTTGCCTGTCTAAAATACTTGATTTGTCTAAGAAATAGCTGAGTGGCCAATAGCAAGGCAGGAGAAAGGATAAGTGGGGCTGGCAGGCAGAGAGAATAAATATAAAGAGAAAAAGAGAGAAACGGTAGCAAAAGAGAGGAAGGAGCGAGGACACTAGGGGCTAGTCCCTGAGCTACACAGCCAGCCACAGTGTAAGAGTGAAAGAAAGATATACAGAAGTAAGAAAAGGGAAAAGTCCAGAGGCAATAGGTAGATGGGATAATTTAAGTTAAGGAAATCTGGCTAGAAATAAGCCAAGCTAAGACCAGACATGCATAGAAAGAATAAGCCCCCGTGTGTGATTTATGTGGGAGCTGAGTGGTAGGCCCCCAAAGAGTAAAGAGTAAAAAAACAAACAACTACACTAACGGGTAAAGAATCTAACAAAACAGTTGGTGCCAGAGAAATCCATAGTGATCTTCAATAGGCAGAAAGATTGGAAAGCCATTTCCCTTCTTGTAATCGCCCCCTCTCCAGGTGACCAAGACATGCCAAGGTAAAAAATCAGCTGTTGAACTTTGGGTGAGAAAGGATCAGGCATGTAACTAGCGTCCTCAGAGGACCTCAAGGCCACCCATGTCTGTGGCTTCGGGGGGGCAACTGTGAGACCTCTCAATCTTAACCTCTGAGGACACTCTGAGTTTCTTGGAATCCAAACGGGCCTGCCATCTTAACAGCTCCTGTGATATCCTTTTAGCAGTTTGTATAATACTACGCAGAAAGAAACGCTGGGCACAGTGGTGCATGCCTCTAATCTCGGCCCTTAGGAAGCTGACGCAGGAAGATTGATGGAACTTTGAAGCCAGCCTGGGCTACAGGCCTGTCAGGGAAGGCTACACACTGAAGCTGTCTTAAAAAAAAAAAAAAAAGAACAAAGACAAAAACAAGTTTTGTGAAAGTAAATAAAGTTGTATTATTTGTCTGATCTTCATTTGCCCAACTCTAAGGGCTCTGTTCATAACAATTTCTGATTTGACTATGATCTTTCCTCTTAGGAATCTCAGACTGTTGGCTCCAACCTACGGGCACCCCCCCCCATTCTCCTAAGTCCTAACCCCAATACTGACTTTAGAACTGCTTAGCACACCTTTCTTCCTGGAGGTACCAATGGTATCTCCAACTTGGTGTGTATAAAACTGACTCCTGACATGCTCCTTCAAACATGTTTCTTCTCTCCTGTTTCTTACTGGTGTTAACGTCATCCAACTGGTGGAAATTTTTAGAGTTTTATGTGGTGACTTACACTCTCAACATGCTGGTTAGGCTGCAGCGGCTTCCTATGACCTCCCCCCCCCCCCCCCGCCAGCTCATTCACTGTGGTAATCTCCTAAAGCCAGGCTTCAACATATTTAATTCCTTTTTTAAAACTTTTTATGTGTTGCTGCCTCTAACATAAAAGTCTAAATGTCTTAACTGGACAATCAAATCTTCCCATGCCAAAACACAAGGAACCTCTATGCTAGGTAGTGTGTTAAGCCTTATCTGATTCTCTCAATTGGAAGGCAGGCAGGAATATTATCTTAACTGCTTTAAGGGATGGTCAGGAAAAGGTTGTAATTGACTGCAGCTGCTGAGTGGCAGAGCTGGGATATATAATTTGGCCCTAGCTTTATCTTCCATTACTAGACAAACACCAGACAAACTCAATTGCTGGGTGATTTCTTATTGTGATCCATTTGGCCACAACAACTCTCTCTTTTCTAGCATTACACATTTAAAGCCTGCTTGCATGGTACTTTGACCTTCTGTAATACTGCATGTGTAGATGCACATGCATACTGCATGTGAAGGCCAGTGGTCAGCATCAGGTGCGGTTCTGCAAGACTCATCTACCTTGTTTTCTGAGACAGGGTTTTCACTGTGACTCGGGCTTGTGACCAGGCAAGGTTAGCGGGAGGGAGAGCAGGTCCCCAGGGACTCTTCTGTCTCTGTATCCCCAGTGACAGGATTACAAGCAGGCACTGCTGAATCTGGCTTGTTATGTGGGTGCTGTGGATGGAACCGGGGGCTTTGCGCTTGAGTAATAAGCACTTTATCAAGTGAGCTATCTCCCCAGGATCGCTTGGAGCAATCTTAACATTCTTTTATAAGATGTGTTACCATCTATGGGATAAGAGTGTACATGTATGTGTGCGCTTCATACTTGAGTACAGAATTAGCACCTCCTTGACAGAGAGCACGTAATGTGGTAGAAACAGAGGAACAAAACTTTCATGTAAGTGGAAATCAAAATAGGATTATTATCCCAGGTGGTGGTGACCCACGTATTTAACCTCAGCACTCGGGAGGCAGAGGCAGGCGGATCTCTGAGTTTAAGACCAGCCTGGTCTACAGAGCGAGTTCCAGAACAACCAGGGCTACACAGAAAAAAAAAACACACAACAAAAACAGAACTCTGGATTTCTGTTATTTATTCTATATTTCTCCAGAAACTCTGGTTCTGCCCTCTAGGAATCAATCCTAATACGGGACCTATACCTGCTTCTTGGGTAAAGATTAATTGTAGGTTTTATATGCTTGGAATTCAACAACATTGTTTTCTTTTCATTTTCTCTTTTTTACCACATTATCTGTTGTTACTTTATATTTTAAATCATCTTCTAAGCCTTTTACATTTTCTGACCCAGCTACACAAACCATCCTTCTGCTACTCCAAATGCTTCCTGCAGCACTTCTCTCTGGCTGTGAGTTGGCTACTTCATAAAGAACATGCAGAAGACTATATTGAAATTAGAATAGTTTAGTTTTGGACATTCATTACCTTGTTTTTGACTCTGTTTAAGACACCACGATAGGCAAAAATAAGAATCAAAACTGTGGCTTCTGTACAGTGTGTATGCACTCATTTGTGACAACCTCTTTTTAAAATGCTGTGCATTTACCCATTTAGAGTATGCATGTCTATCAACGGCAACTCTCTGCTTCAGACTTTGAACAGCTGGGATAACAAGCCCGGCTTTTCTTACCTGATCTCTATTATTTAGTGTGTTTCCAACATTTATCCAAGGTGTATCCGTATATTATTGTCTCGCTGGTGTTGATATGGTTTGAGTATGTACCCCAATAATTTACATGTAAAAATCTAATCCCCCTTGTGAGATACAAAATATGGAAACTCAATTAAAGTATTCTGGAGGTAGGGTCTTTGGGAGGTGATTAGGGTTAGATAAAGCCATTAGGGGAAAGCTCTAATGATTACTAGTGAGGGTCATCAGAACATAGGGAGAAACAGAAAATCAGGTGATACAGAAGAGGACAGTGGCAAGGGAAAGGGACTGACAGAGACTGACAACATATAGAACACATATGCAGACACAGATGTGTGCTCCGTCTCTTGCCATGTGATGCCCTGCACTGTCTCAGCACTCTGCCAGCAAGAAGGCCTTCCTTCTCCAGAGCTAGGGATGTGCTAGTTAGAGTTAAAGCTTCCAGAACTAAATTAAATACATCTGATTTTCCATAGGGTTACACACCCTAGAGCATTTCATTATAGTAAGAAAAAGTTCATTATCACCAGTCCTTTACATGGCTAAGTAATATTCCATTGTATAACTCTTTAACTTTAAATATTTTATTTTTGAGAATATTATAAAATGTACTTTGATCATATTCATCCCCTCTCCCAACTCCTCCCCTTCCTACTTTTCCTCTTCTCCTTAGCTCCCTA